CAATTGAATTAGGTATCCTGTGTAAGTGACTTTATTAAGATGCTCTATCTATGCTAGTTCTTCGATTCTGAGCTGCATCCAACTGCTTGTTCGACATATATGCGCTATCTCACCAAAGGCGGCTCAAATGGTCATTTACTTTTCTGTTGGTATCACTCATTAACAAATGACGTTCAACGGCTATTATCAAGATCAGCAGCATGTCCTATGTGTCGAATTCTTTTATTCACAAGTTACACTTATACGCTATAGTTCCTTGGAGTCAACAGCTAAATCACGGTTATCATTAAGGTGAGCAACATGCCCTACGCGTTGAATTCTTTAATTCACTTCCTAGGAAGTTGTGGGCCACTCTCGTTTGGTATATGATTCAGAATGAAAATTGGCTTAAAAAAATATAAGTTCTGGTATACGGAGAATTTCTTTAGTCGCGAAGGAAGAGGAAAGTTTGAGAACTGGCAAAAGTTATTTCAGGAATCAGAGGGTTAAGCAGAAAGAATATTCTTTCACTGAAAGCCTATTTCCTTTTTATTGAAAAAAGGACAGAGGTGCTTTGAACGCACTCCTAGCTGTCATTATCAGTCAAATGGTGGCTCTCTTTTGCTCAAAATGAAAGCTGATGACAGGTTTGTTTCTTTGGTATGCGCCAGTACCAATTTATCATCGAAATGCATAAATGAATCGCAGAAGGATTGGTGCTCCAGCGGCCAGACTATCGATGGCTTCCTCTTTTAACGGTTGCTTAGAAGCACGCTACGGGCGATTTTGATTCCCTGTTATGTACCAACAATAATTTACTATCGGAGTAAATTGCTGATAATAGGGAGAGAATAAAAGAGTGTTTGCCAGTATGTGCTTTCTAAAAAAAAAAACTATATCGCTTTTTTGCAACAGCTGGAATCCACTTCCAACAAAAATAAACTCATTTACGTCTTTTCACTCATTTCCTGTCTCCTTCCTTCGCACTCTTTCTTCTTCAATTAGCAAATGAAGAAATGAGAAAAAAGAGCCAAAAATTATTTTTTTCAAGGAAAAATTCAAATTCCTCATCCAGAAAATCCGAAGAAATTAGATATGCTGTGTTAGTATATATTCATAGGAAAATCCAAATTTCAGTCTCGCAGATTCTCATTATAGTCAAGGCAGTCAGTATCGGAACTTTGATGCCATTCAGATGCAAACAAAGTACAAGACTTTTTGTCCAAGATTACTTGCTCATAAACCATATAACTGCAGTATGTGTGAAAACCTCTTTTATGAGTTCCTCAATGGATTCTTTGATAAGAGTTAACAGACAGTTATTAGCAATGTAACTAACATTTTTGTCAGCGAATGTGTTACTTATAGACAATCTTATCACCTAAACGAAACTCATTCTCCTCATCTTTGAAACACAAGTTGAACTGAAGTTGACATGAAAAGACCATACTACGTGAAACTGACTCAAAAAACTACTTGTTGTAAAAAGACCGCTTAACGTAAAACATACTTGAAAGTACCATTTATGCAGACTAATCTGCCGCTTAAGCAAAACACGTTTTTTACGGACAACGTGAAACTGACGCAGGAAGACCACTACACGTGAAACTGAAGTGAAAAAGCTACTCAGCATGTATCCATATTTCCTTCGTAACTCGCATAGAAGCTACCAAAAACCGAACGTAGATGATTGTAACCGCTATGCAAAGAAATGCATGCGGTGAGCCTGCTACCCTAATTTCAGGATTTTTCCCGTCTTATCAGTCATGAAATTCAAAAAAAAAAAAAATAATCTGACCCGTGTAATAGTTCCTGGATATCCACCTATCTCATTTTCGTTGTCGTCATCATCCTCGTCACCAAAATCCTCCTCGATGCTCAACAACGGTTCGTTTAGATTTTCTAACGATGCTGTCGCTGCAGTAGCAATATCAATATGCTTACGAGCCTTGTACTGGCCCGCTGACCGCCTTCTTGGCCTCAGTGACAGATGGAATACGTGACGCTTGAACATCCTCTAGCAGAATTTCGCCGGTTTTTTTCGATGAAAATGGTGGAAGAAAGAAATTGTTCCGCCGCTGCCGCTGAAGCTGGCCAGGTAATAGCACAGTAACACGCAACAGTAAATCGCATATGGTAGTGCTACATAAAAGCACTACAGCAAATCACGTAGTAGGACTAAATAAGGTCAGTAGTTGTAAAAAATTAAATTTTTCCATTAAATAACGACAGTACCAAGGCCAATCATTTTATCGGTGTTTCATGCTAATGTTGTTACTGGAATGTACTTGAAGTGTTATTAGAATTTTTCTCGAGTTATAACTCCGATGACTGCTGCTAGCAAAATGACATTACAATACAAAATGAATGCTTACTTCAAAAAGCCGAAACAAAGAAAAGTACCTTCACTCATGCACCAAATGAGGAAAAGTACTAAGTTGGTAAAGTACTAAGGAAAGTACTTTGTGGATCAAGCACCATCGGTTAGATAAACGATGCTCT